TGGTTTTTTATTAAAAACGAAGATGAGAAGGATTATAAAATTAAAAACACAATTGGTCATGTGATAATCATCACTTCCGGTTTTCGGCAGTATAGCCGCACGGCCTTATGGGTATTGTAGTTCCCCATAAGGCCATCTAAAAACGGAAGCTAATAAAAGAGAACAAAAAAAAAAAAAAAAACAAAGGATAGGGTTACTTGTGGGGAGACAAGTCCCATGGTGTTAAAATTACATAAAAACGAGCAGGGGAAAGTTGTAAAATATGCGGCACTTCCGAAAACCGGAAGTGGAACCGCAATGACTTGTGGGGCATGTAGTTGTGAATGCAGCAACCTATATAGGAAAAAAAAAAAAAAAAAAAAAATAATGAAAAGGAAAAGAAATAAGGGAAACTATTTGGCTAAAATCTTTTTTGCTAAAATCTTGTAATAGCTGATTTCCTACTAAAAAGCCACTGGTTAATGAGGCATATTCAGTGTTTTTTATTAAAAACGAGGATGAGAAGGATTATAAAAATAAAGACACAATTGGTCATGTGATAATCATCACTTCCGGTTTTCGGCAGTATAGCCGCACGGCCTTATGGGTATTGTAGTTCCCCATAAGGTGATCTAAAAATGGAAGCTAGAAAAAAAATAAAAAAAATTATGGATAGGGTTACTTGTGGGGAGACAAGTCCCATGATGTTAAAATTACATAAAAACGAGCAGGGGAAAGTTGTAAAATATGCGGCACTTCCAGGAACCGGAAGTGTAACCGCAATGACTTGTGGGACATATAGTTGTGAATGCAGCAACCTATATAGGAAAAAAAAAAAAACACAATAAAAAGGAAAATAAACAGGGGAAACTATTTAGCTAAAATCTTGTAATAGCTGATAAAAAACAGCTAAAAGGTGTATGAGAAAAAATAAATAAATAAATAAATAATAATATGAAAAAGTGAAATATAAAATATAAAAATACTGGTCTTGGTTCCTACTAAAAAGCCACTATAATAGCCTTAAAGTTAGATGCATAAGAACATATGATAATTAGGGAACTACAATACCCATAAGGCCGTGCGGCTATACTGCCGAAAACCGGAAGTGATGATTATCACATGACCAATTGTGTTTTTAATTTTATAATCCTTCTCATCTTCGTTTTTAATAAAAAACCACTGAATATGCCTTATTAACCTATTTACTATCTGAGAATAATTTAATACTGTTAATTTGAGATGTAAAAAAGTATCTTTATTCTGATTGGCCGAAATTTTTTGGCGCCAATTTTAAATTGAACTATGTCTATATAAACACTATCTGCCAGGTTTTGTATTATATTCCATTTGATAAAGTCTGTTAGACGAAACGCGTTATGGAAATTTAATTTTGTATAATAAATATTAAAGTTTTTGGTTAACTGATAGTCCCAACTACTTTTATTTATACATGTACCCTGGCTATTTATCGTTTTAGTTCATTGTTATATTTTATATACACTCTATTCCGATTTTAATACTATCTCTACAAGTTCCTGACAACCAAAGAAATCCATAGGTGGGGATTATTCCACCAGCGCTGACATCAAAGAGCAGTTGGTCTGCTCTGTACTTGTAAGTACGTTTTTTTATTCTCTTTTATAATATACAGTTATACAGAGAGCACTATTTGGCTGTTTCTGTTTCCTTTGAGTTTTGGATACCCTGACGAACCCATCATAAATCCCATAAGCGGGGATTATACCGCTGTGTGCGCTTTACCCTAGAGCTGGACAGAAGCTCTGGAAATTGTGAGTTCGTTATCATTAATCAATTTTTTACTTCATTTGAACCGTACATTCTGCACCATCGTTTGTTCTCTCCTTTTATCTTTTATATATTACCTGAAGATCGCGTTCCTGTACCTAAAGACGACAGAGAGGATACCTTTTTAGGTCGGACTTTTTAACTTCAATAACTATTGATACTGGACACTGTTTATTCTGGCGCAGCCCTCCTTTTATATTTTGCTTTTATCCTGTATTTTAGGGTTTTGGGGGGATTCCCTTGTTGGGTTGCTGCCTTACTGGTTGTCTGGCGCTGTCTCTTTTCCTTGATTGAGGAGAATACTTCACTATTAGTCTCAAAGTTACCACTAAGCTATTTGAGCAACTAGGTGTACCTATTTCCCCAAAGAAAACAGAGGGGCCAGACACGGTTATCACTTTTCTGGGTATCCAACTAGACTCCGCCACAATGCAAGCGAGTCTACCACACGATAAGATAGAGAATATTCTTACTTACATAAACAGCTACCTTCAGCTTGGTACTTGCAACCGCAAAGAGCTACAGTCCCTGCTGGGGTCACTAAATTTTGCTATGCGCATCATACCACAAGGCCGCTCCTTTATATCACGACTATTGCATCTTTTTCCACATTTCCTACATGACACGCACAGGTTGTCCTTAGATACCCAAGCTACGGCAGATCTAAACATGTGGAAGAGATTTTTAACCACTTGGAATGGTTAAAGTATGTTCCTCCCTTAATTGACTGACTCATCTCCTACCATTTGGTCAGATGCAGCATCTACCACTGGTTTTGCAGCAATTTTTGGGAACGAATGGCTTTGGGGCAGCTGGCCTTCAGCAGTTCAGGATTTGGAAGGTTTTTTCACTACCTCAGCTCTTTGTGAGATCTATCCCATCGTGGTGGCTGCCGTAGCATGGGGTCACTTATGGGCTAATATGCCAGTGCGTTGTTACTCAGACAACCAGGCAACCTGTCACATCATCAACAAAGGTCGTTCCAAATCCCTTACGATCATGAGATTTCTGAGGAAACTCACTTGGTTGGCAGCTTGTCATAATTTTTTCCTATGTTGTTTCCATGTTCCAGGTGTATGTAACACAGCTGCTGACAATTTGTCTCGCTTTAAATTTCAGGAGTTTCATCAAGCACTCCCGTCAGCGGCGCCCACAGCCACCATCACTCCAACATTTCAACAACTCATACTGGACTAGACACCATCATGCAGCATAGCAGGACATTGTCCCAACTGGCACTTTCAAACAATACACACAAAACATACAACAGGGCTTTCACACTATTCAAACGATTCCTTTTGGAACATAACATCATGCAACCATTTGTTATGACATCTTTTTCGGGGTTTGCTTCCTTTTGCCACCTTAAACTTAAAATGTCATATAACACCATCAAACTCTATCTCACTGGCATTCAACACCACATGCTAATCTTACACCCAAATAACAACAGTTTCATGGCCTCTCACCAAATTAAGACCATACTCAGAGGTATTTAGAAATCAGAACCCACACATATAACCCAGAGGCTACCCATAGATAACCATATATTCAAAGCATTGTCTAACCTGCTTGACTTAAAACCGTTTGACACCAATACAAATGCTGTCATCAAAACAGCAATATACATCGCTTTCTATGGATTTCTAAGAACTAGAGAATTCACTACAACCTCCACGAATCAAACTACTCCGTTCCTACTCTATTCCCACTTGACAAAACATATGGATCATTACATCCTGACTTTACCTCACTCCAAAACCAGTCAGCACATACCCGTAAACATACCGTACTATCCCACGCACAACAGATGGTGTCCCGTCAGGGTTCTTGATGCCTACATACAGCATCATAACTTACTGCCCTCACAACAATTACTACAGCTACAAGGTGCAGTACTCACCACTACAACCTTCATGACTTACGTCAGGTCCTTGCTCACACAGCTGGGCCTCAACGCAGCCAAATACTCAGGGCACTCCTTTCGTATAGGAGCCGCGTCCACAGACTCCAGTGTCAACATCCCAACTCATGTTATCAAAACACTGGGGCGCTGGAAGTCATCCGCTTACTCACGGTACATACCGAACCCAGTACAAAAGTTAAGGGATGCTTTCAAAAACATGTCTGGTGGATAAATGTATATGTATTGGTTGTCTGTAATAAATTTGATTACTTAATTTTGCCCTCTTCTTTCTCAGGCCTACCTCATTGTCGGTTCCAGCACACCACAACCGACTTGCTCTTTTTACTATCCTACATTTATTTATGGTATTTCACACTGTACTATCATAAGCACCTAACACAAGTATTAAGGCAATTTGCCTGGATTTGTGGGAGGTGCTGGTTTGCTACCCCTAGCCTACTTAAGGCACTCCCCTTACCTGGCTCCTTACCGTTCGAGGTCAGCGTTGAATGACCCTCCCACCACACCACATTTTAACATTTATTTTCTATTTTCTTTCCCTGGGTAGGCCCTCTTCTTTCTCAGGCCTACCTCATCGTCGGTTCCGGCACACCACAACCGACTTGCCCTTTTTACTATCCTACATTTAATTATGGTATTTTACTCTGTACTATCATGAGCACCTAACACAAATATATATATATATATATATATATATATATATATATATATATATATATATATAAATAAACATCATTCTAAGTGTATTTATATATTAATATTAAAATACACTTTTAATGATGTATGTATGTGTATGTGTATATAAAAGTACTTATATATATGATCTAAATACTATTTATTTCATATAAAAACTGTTTTATAGGCGGGGCCTGACATCCAAGCAGAGCAGATGCATGTCTTGCAAGCTCCTGCTCCAGGCACTGATTTTAAGCATTAAATGCCCGCAAATCTGCAGATCAGACCGCAGAAACATAATCGCATGAACGGTGGCTTCCTGGCGAACCCGCCAATATTAAAATCTGGACACTACTCACCAGATCGCCTGACTCCTGACCCTGCGGCCTACAGACAGACCGGGCCTGGGAGAGACGGCCGCTCTCCTGATATCCTGGTCGGCCAAGAGGTTCAAGCAGATTGGTCTCCCTTCCACCCCCCGGACCGATGGGGGATATATCAGTCCCCACCAGAGAACGTTACTACGAACACAAGGCATAGCAACCTAGACTCACCTTACAGACAAGAGAAGAGGGGTTAAGCTAAAATAGCCGCCACACCGACCGAGCACATGCTCCACTGGGAAACTAAGTTTCAAGCGGCTTTTGATGCCCTGTGTGCAGCATTCTGGACCCGAATAGAGTCCCGCCAGCAGCAACGCACATTTACTGCAGCCGTGCCAACGGAGGCCGCCAGCTCTGCAAAGACAGCCTGTCTCACTCCTGGACTGAGAGCAAAAAGGAGCAAGCATCCCACGCAGCCTGCACCTGTGTTAAATCCTGCTCGCAGAGCTCCCGCACGGAGAAACCCTGCCAGATGGAGACCTCACCGACCTCACCTACCTGCATGCAGCTCAAGCACCCAGGCACTCCAGCACTCTACGGAACCTCGAAGACACAGCCTGACCGCAATGAGGAGGAGGGCAATGCGGCTGCAGCCAGGTGAACACGTAACTGGGCGGCTAATGCGAAGCCCACAGCAGAAACCCAAGATTCCAACAGCACACTAGACCCCAAAATGGCATCGGGAAGGGAAGCATCCACGGTCCCAACGACAGGCTACCCGATTAACTGGGAGGGAAGCCGACCATGGCAGTACCCCAACCAGGAGCATGAAGAAATGGACCCATGCACTTCCAACTTTTTCCTCTGCTGGATATAGGCTGAAGGGAAACCCAAATACAGAGTAAGCCCGGCGGACCCCGCTCAATTCCTCTTGCCACAATGGACGCAATCCAGTCCCTTTTGTAGCCGGTAAGGCTTGATACCTGCAAGACTCATTACATACCTGCGTACTCCCCCTAGTCTGATATTTCTCTTCCCTTGTTATTTGATATTATCTCGCTAGTTATTCACTGGGTATGGCAGCGCAGGCTTCTCACCTGTATGAGCTAAGCAGTCAGTCTATGTATAATCAAGCATAGTGTCTCTAAAGTAAAGCCTAAAGTAAACGTGTTGTATGTTTGTTTTACTGTACTATAATTTGCAGCAATGCCTGTTAGAATCACTAAAATATTAACCATACCAAAAGCGCAGTCTTACTGAATATGTATATTAAGCTACAGTTATTATACTAAAAATGTGCCGATAAGCCCATTGCTCCCACTGTTATACATGAAAATACGCTCAAGGATTGCTATTGGGGCACCACAAGCTTGTATGTATTTATCACAATGCACAATAAAAATAAATAATAATAAAAAAAAAAAAAAAAACTGTTTTATAAATGCTATTAACTTTTTAAAACTTTTTTACATGCATGAAGTAGACAGCCTGAGAGTTTACTGCATAAGCCGGCTATTCCGGCCATGTGATCGCGAGGACTCTGCAATCACATGGACCAGGAGGACCGGATCAGGCAGAGGGGGGCTGTCTGAGCTCCCAGGTAGACCCCAGGATCACGACTGCCGGCATGGGATTGGCAGGGACTCGGTAAGTGCCCTGGACGTCGGGGACGTTCTATAAGTGCCCTGGACGTCAGGGACGTTCTATAAGTGCCCTGGACGTCGGGGACGTTCTATGCCGCCCTCGGGCATTTAGAGCCACCCCAAAAAGGACGGCATATAATGTCCGCCATCCTTAAGGGGTTAATTATTATTATTTTTAAAGAACCAGCAAATTCCATAGCGCCATACAAATAGTGGATTAACAGACAAGTATTTGTTACCAGACAAGTTGGATGTACTGGAACAGAGGGGTTAAGGGGCCCTGCTCAGTGAGCTCACATGCTATAGGGATGCACAGCATTATTGATATTTAATTTAACTACCCTGTACATTTATTTTATATATCCTATGTGCATTGTATATTTTCTTGCCTTTATTTTATGTCTGTTATGCTAAAGTGTAGTTTTGCTAGTCCCATCTGCAATAAGCAAGCCTGATTTCCAAACCCCAATACTGCTGTAAGAAACTCAGTACTCCATCAGCTGATCGTCTGCAATAAGCAAGCCTGATTTCCAAACCCCAATACTGCTGTAAGAAAGTCTGATGCTCGCCCTTCCCTTCTCTCACCACCCCACCCCATGCTCATTATTACATTTATAGATTTTTCTGCCATACCCAAATTTTAGGTAAGTAAAAACAGGTGTACACACTGCCTCTTATTAGTACACTCCTGCACTTTCTTAACCCATAAAACTTAAATCTACCTTGATATTCCAATTATTTCCAACTTACTTTTTCACAGTTAAGCAATGATCTGTCTTCTCCTCCTCTTTATTTCCTCCTTCTCCCTCAGTATAAAATCCTCTCCTTACACCCACTTCACTCATCCCCCCATCCATATTTACAAATGCCCCTCTCTGCTGCACTCCCCCCTTCTCGCTTCTCATGCCTTGCACTCCTTTTTCTACTCTCTCACTCCTACCCACAATCAATCTCTTTCTAGACCCCATGCATACAAAACCCATTTACACCTCCTGTCACTTTCTCTCCTCCTCCTTCTAGCAGCTGGTGATGTCTCTCCCAATCCAGGACCCTTCACCTTCTCTACACACACTAAGAAAACCTCATCACAATACCCTGCCCTTTACCCTCATTTACCAACATTTAGTGTGTACTCTGGAACACCCGCTCCATCTGCAGTAATTTAAAATGAAAAGTAATTACCCTTTAAACTTATGGAGAGCAAAAAACAAGTTGCAAGAGTATTCTGAGATCAGATAGCAACTGAAATATGAAATAGCCTGCCCTTCGGTGGGTCCCCGCTCAGAACTCAAGCTGGTTTTAACTCATCTTGTGCCATTACAGAGAGAACATATCATATCAACATATGAAGCATATCAGACTGTTCCCACCCATATAGGCAGTCCAGATCCTAAATGCCAGCAAGTTCCCTCTGAACAAGAGACACAGCAACCCCAAACAATCATTTCAGCCTTGTTAGGCATCATCAGTGAGACATAGCTGATATCTCTCTAGGCACCGTGAGCAGGGGGTCCACGTCTGGATTACCCTTTAAACTTATGGAGAGCAAAAAACAGGTCGCAAGAGTATTCTGAGAATGGACAGCAACTGAAATAGCCTGCCCTTCGGTGGGTGTGCAAGGTGAACTTCAAAGAAATAAAGGATAGGGCAGGGGCATGGAGGATAGGTTGAAACGTACATTGAGGGTGTGACAAACGCTTCTTACCCTGGACAGTTGCCACAAACTCCTGGAGGAGTGTGGAAGCTGGCCTCCTGCCCACCGACTATGGGTCATATACATTGTGCCAAACTCACTATTTTCCCTTCTGTTTGCAAGACATTTCCCTCTTAGTTCATGGTATACAGCATCCCGAACACAAATACATTTCCCCAGTTTGGCAGTTATAATCTACCGAGCACCGACCACCCCCGGCTCATTAAAGGACCACTATAGTGCCAGGAAAACATACTCGTTTTCCTGGCACAATAGTTCCTTGAGGGTGCCCCCACCCTCAGGGTACCCCCTCCCCCCCCGCCAGGCTCTGGAGAGAGGAAAGGAGTTAAACTTACCTTTTCTCCAGCGCCGGGCGGGGAGCTCTCCTCCTCCTCTCCGCCTCTGATCCTCCTCTTCGGCTGAATGCGCATGCGCGGCAGGAGCTGCGCGCGCATTCAGCCGGTCTCATAGGAAAGCATTTACAATGCTTTCCTATGGACGCTTGCGTCTTCTCACTGTGATTTTCAATGAGACAGCCACTAGAGGATTTAGAGGCTGGATTAACCCATTTATAAACATAGCAGTTTATCTGAAACTGCTATGTTTATTTTAAAAAAGGGTTAATCCTAGCTGGACCTGGCACCCAGACCACTTTATTAAGCTGAAGTGGTCTGGGTGCCTAGAGTGGTCCTTTTACTACAAAGAATCCACAGACTTAAGTGCTCTCCCTTTTCTGGTTTAATGAACACATTTTCAGGCCAGAGTCCCATCCCCTTGACCTGATGGTAAACTGGGACAAAAGGGACACAAACCAATAGGAACAATAATTAGTACAGTAACGCTCCCACATACAGTCAGCAATCCCTCCCCTCTGCCTGTGATATAATTAAGGTAGCTAATGGAATAACCTAATTATCCACAGGCAGAAAATATCCAGTTTAACCCAAAGTCCAGAAACACCCCAAAACACAAACATATCCCCATAAAATATACATCCCTGGATAGCTCTGATCTGGGTGAAAAACATATCCAAAAATCACCCAGATCACAGCAGGGGTTCAAAAGTTTTGTGGAAGTCATATTTGACCGATCGCACGCACATTTTCATGCCCAAAACAGTTCCAGAGAATTTGGCTGTGCGGCCGGTCTATTTCCAATAGTTCAAATACTAAGTTGCGTTAGGATGCACGTACGGGGGCCGTTCGTGCAAATACTCAAAGTTAAAGTGGCGTTTGAATTGTCGAACGCACTTCGATTTCCGTCAAAGTGTTGAAGTCTGGAAAAGGTAAAGTTCAGCGGTGTTCGTGCCATTGCGTATCCGATTGGAGTTCCATGAACTTGATGACCAAACACCACTGAACGCGTTCAACTGAATTAAAATGGCTGCCGCCACATGTTCGTATGTCGAATGGCGGCCACTTCGACTACTTCGGCACTTCGGCTGTATCCGAAGTGCCACTTCGAAAGTGCAAATCCTTCCCAATAGTTTTTAAAGGGGCAGAAACAGTACTTTAGAATCCAATATGCACAAATGGAGTCTTTAAAAGGCAATACACCCCAGGGGCCGTAGTCACAGGGCAAAAAGCTGGCAAAACCCAGTAGCATAGTGCAATTCGTCACACATCTTCCCTTTTGGGGGGAGACTAACCAGGTACCTGACCTTCTGTAGCACACCCACAATAAACAGTTACTGCACATGGTGATTCCTGGTGTCTGACTCTGGCCTGTATGTCCCAGGTTGCTGAGTGGTGGTTCAGCACCCTTGATCTCCCTGGTGTTCCTAGACGTGGAGCTGGTGGTACTTGGTGGGCAGAGGCAAGCTGCGCTCTGCCCTGATGCCAGCTCTTCTGCTGGGGTAGCCTGCAGGAAGCCAGGCTCTGGACACGGGGAAAGGGGAGGGCAGAGGCCAACTGCGCTCTGTCCAAATGCCAGCTCTTCTGCTGGGGCAGCCTGTAGGCAGTCAGGCTCTGGACAAGGGGTAAGAGGAGGGCAGAGGCTAACTGCGCTCTGCCCAGATGCCAGCTTTTCAGGTGGGGGGACCATGGCATAGTCCTGCCCGGTAGCAAGGGGAAAGTTGGGGCAGAGGCCAGCAGTGCTCTGCCCTGATGCCAGAGCTCAATCTGCCGCCGGGGAGAGAAACCTGTTGTCTCCTCTCCCTGTGAGATGCACTGCCGCTGGGGAGAGAGACCGGTTGCCTCCTCTCCCTGGAACTCCAATTGCAGCTGGGGATCTGGGCCATTGCCCAGCATCCCTGTAGGGCCGATGGAGAGACCTCGGTCCCATCTCCACCTGCCATTTGGGGGTCCTCCCAGGACCAGTCCATGAGGTCCCCTACTTCGGGTACCTCTGGTTGTTGTTGGGGAGGGAGACCGGTTGTCTCCTCTCCCTG